TGTTAATCACTGACTGGAATGAGGACGGCTATGGAAAAAAACAAAATAAAATAAAAAACAACGGAATCCTTAAAATGAGTGTGAGCTGCTGATAAGTTTAATTTATTTTTTTCCTTTTCTTTTTCTTCATGTTGATCAAATATTAAGTGCAAGTGTTTATTTTGGATCCAGGTTTTAAGTAAATTGTGCCCCTGGGACTCTAAATGGTGCAACGTAGTGCAACTTTTAAGTTTTTTTTTTATATTTTTAAGTGCTAGTAGATGTTTTGGATTTTAATCGTATTCAACGGAGATGAATTCAATCATGAGGAGAATGTAATATTTGGTGATTTGCAAAAGGATTTTCTGATGGAATTAAAATGGAATTAAATGGTGTTTGGATCACTTTAAACAAATTTGCTGCTGAAATCAGTTTTGACACGCAGCGAGGCGAGGCTGCATCGGTTTCTAAAATGTGAAAATAATTTCCATTTTCATTTTGAGCCTAAAACGAAAGCCAAGCAGGGAGATCACTAAGTAGTTTGACTCAAATAGATGTCACGTTTTCGTGCCTCGATTTTCTTGCATAAAATTTGGTTGAGTTGCAGTTTAAATGTTTTAAAAGAGACTCATTAACATCYGTGCCATTAACCTATTGTTAAGAAGCTATTCTTCACTCATTTTTTATGTTTTATTGCAGCCTATTGTTGAATGATCAGAGGTTTCCTAAATGTCAAGATATTTCCTATATTGTCTTTAATTTTACAGCCCTATATTGTCTATATTGGCTTAACATGTGCTTTAAACTATATGCAGCAAAACACACTGCAGCCCTGATCTGTATGACAAAAAAAGTTGCTATTTTTTGATTTGTGGGTTAAACAACGCAAAGATTTTACACGGTAACACATGACCAAACCCGCCCTGAAAGGTACACTTTACTTTCCCAGTTCAAAAACTCAAATATTGTTTTTTTTTCTTTCACYTCCTGCATCAGGTAGATGTTTCTATGTCTATTTTTTTTTGTCAAAACCAAAGAGAAAAGTCAGGAAAACGATTATATCTTCTCCAAAGTGTGAAAGCAAATGCTGCAAAATGCTCCTGGATAACATTTTTACTCTGAAATCACTTTATTGCTCCACTTTCTGTCTTTTCTTAAAATAACGATTTATGGCAGCATTTATTCGCAACGGCAGACAAAACCTCTGAATGCAGCTCGTGTGAAGGGTCGACTGCTTTTTACTTTCTGCCTGATCCCTTTAAAATACAGGTGAAAGTTGAGAATTTGGCTTCATAAAGCGGTTGTAACCCTGAGCTCGGAACGGGAGTAATGCAAAGTGTAAATACAAAAGGTGCCTCATGCTCTAATGCTCGCACGCAGCTGTGCACAATTAAAGAAAAGCTCACAAACAATGACAGAGCCTCGAGCGGGAAAGTCAAGTGTGTAAGAGCAGTTTATGAGATCATGTGTGCAGACAAACAAACAGTCTAAGATGAGCAATTAATCACATCTCAACCAGTCGGTCTTAAACGATGATAAGCTTTGATGAGAGACACGAGGTCTCTGCGTTCAGCAAATCGTTCGTCTTCCAGGTGTTCAGAATACCTTCGCTCAATTCTCATTTTTCTTCTTCTTACCGTTTGTTCCTCTTCCTGCTGACTCTCAGCCTCCTGACGCCGGCCGTCCGTCTCTAACTCCATTCTTTTATTTTATTTTTTGCACCGTTTTAACCTTCGTGTGGATTTGAAAGTGATTGACCGCTAATGACAAATGAAAAAGCGGTCCGTTTCCTGCTGGCGTGGAATAGCTTCTTGAAAGCAAGGAATACAGCAATCGCACCCAAGCTGGCAGGGCTGATTGGCGCCGCGGTCCAGAGCCCGTGCTCGAGCAGGTCCCGCTCCTGCCATTATTTGTGTTATTTTAGGCTTAAGAGGAGCCACTGGTTGCCAATCTGTGTGCGAGGACATTTTTGCATGAAGATAAAACTTTGCGAAACCCCCACGGGGCACCGCTGGGTGTCTTATTACACCTTACTTGATTTGTTAACACACTGTTTGGGGAAGAAAAACGAAAAAAGCAAAGAGAAGTTTAACTTTTTGGTGGGTCCCTGCTGCTTGAATCGGGTGGCCTCGATGAAGTAAATGAGAGCTGTCGTTTTCCCACATAGCTGGTTTGTGGTGGTACAGTTGCTTCTCTAACACAAACTCTGAGCGAAACTCATTGGCTGTGCACAAATTCAGGAGCTGCATCCTTCGAAGGACCCGACCTTTGTCGATTGCAAAAACCAGAAGAAAGTGGCTGTGAATTTGGACCATCTAGCCTTCAGCTGTCTTCCCACCCTTACCCCTGTGTACATCCTTTCACTTAGCAACTGTGACTGCACTAATTAAAAGTAATTAAGTTCAAGAATAGATGAAAATGAGCAAAATATTAATATTATTAGTATTATTATTTAACAAAATCAGCTTAGAGGCAACACTTGAAGACCAAAGAGGCTTGCCAAATGAGCTTGTTTACAATAGCTGTGTCCGAATTCAGGGGTTTGGTCCTTTAAAAGACCTGGCCTACCCGGTCTAGGTGGGCTGGGTCCTTAATAACAACACAATCACTTAAAACTTGTCATTTTTAGGTATGTAGGTAGGCAGTTAGGCAGGTAGGAGACATGTAGACAGGTAGGTAGGTAGACAGGTAGGTAGGTAGACAAGTAGGTAGGTAGATAGCTGCGTAAATAGGTACACAAGCAAGTAGGTAGGTAGGTAGGTAGATAGCTACGTAAATAGGTACACAAGTAAGTAGGTAGGTAGGTAGGTAGGTAGATAGCTACGTAAATAGGTAGACAGGTAGGTAGGTAGGTAGGTAGGTAGGTAGGTAGGTAGGTAGGTAGGTAGGTAGGTAGGTAGGTAGGTAGGTAGCTACGCAAATAGGTACACAAGTAAGTAGGTAGGTAGGTAGATAGGTAGGTAGGTAGGTAGGTAGGTAGGTAGGTAGGTAGGTAGGTAGGTAGGTAGATAGCTACGTAAATAGGTAGACAAGTAGGTAGGTAGGTAGGTACAGTAGGTAGGTAGGTAGGTAGCTACGTAAATAGGTAGACAAGTAAGTAGGTAGGTAGGTAGGTAAATAGCTACGTAAATAGGTAGACAAGTAAGTAGGTAGGTAGGTAGGTAGATAGCTACGTAAATAGGTAGACAAGTAAGTAGGTTTGTAGATAGCTACGTAAAAGGTAAACAAGTTAATAGGTAGGTAAGTAAGTAGTCATGTAGGTAAGAAGGTAGGTAGGTTGATTGATTGATTGATTGATGTCCCCAAGGGGAAGTTTGTCTTGGACATCGTACGCCCAACAATGCTGCTTCTACAATTAACACACTACAAACAGCAATAAGAAGTCATGTGAGCACCTCAAAAAATCAAAAACACATATTGTTCAATAATCCCAAATAGACTGAGAGAAAAAAAAACATGTATTTCTCAATAAACACACATTGCACATTCCCACATACCTTCTAGCATGTACACAAACCTAGTCAAACCAAAGTTTTAGTAGCATGACAAACACCATATGCCTACTTTATTTAACAGTCGGATTCATGTAGAAACAAATGAATTTTTAAATCTATTGAGTTGACAAGAAGGGATTCTAAATCTAAAACTATATTGCCTTTTCTTGCTTTGTCCGCCATTACGAGCAGGAGAAGAAGGATCCATCGTACCCGTCCCTCAAATCAGGGAAAAAGAAGGTTGCATTTGTTGGTCGCATTGGAGGGGTCTTCAAATTTGGTCATCCTCCGACAGAGACATAAGCGGCTAACAAATCCGACCTTGGGAAGACGCAGCCCCTGAATTTGGACACAAAAACCAAAACTTGTCTATGCAAATGACAAAATTGCCTAAAAACACAACCTCTTTAAACTTTCAGTTTTTGTACTGCCAGATTTTTATTTAAAACTGTACTCCTGTTTTTCGTTTCGTCCACCCTTACAAGCAAAATGTTATTCCGGCCAACCTGCAACGCATACTGTAATAAGGTGGGCCAAGGACAATGCACAGACCCACCCCTCGAATCAGGGGTAAAAAAGGACATTTTTGTGGTTCATAATTGGAGGACTGCTCAAATTTGTTGCATCACTGTGACGTAATCGGCCTTCAAAGACGCAGTCCCTGAATTTGGACGCAGCCGTTGTGCAGAATCTTTTCATAGAACCATGGGATTAATTGATAATCTTGATTTATTTTGGCTAATATTTTATAAACTACTGAACTGATTTTAATGAAACATTCAGAATTTAACAGACATTGAGCTAAATCTTGGTGTCATTTACAACACATGCGCAGAGATTGTGCATGATGGTAATTTAACAGTTTGACCAAAATGACTCCATTGTTTCTCAGTTAAGGGTGAGCGAAGTTTAAAGCTAATATTGTAATGTGCTTGGCCGTATCTGTCCCTGTATTACAAAACTGTTTTTAGGGCACAAGATTCAATTTTAATTCATATTATTTGCATTTAATATCTGATATTTATTTAGGCAAATAATGTGTTGAAAATATTGGTCATTTTACTGTTTTGAACAACAGTTATGGCTTTTTAAATATATGTTTTTATGCATAAAAGCTGTACTTAAATGTACGTTGATGCTCTTTTTGCAGGTTTTGACATTTAAATGATTTACTTAGAAAATTAGAGTTTCAGTTTTTAGAACGTTTTCAGCTCTGACATGCCAATTTAGATTTTTTCTTTTTTTTCTTTCTTTAACCAATTCACATTTCTCTTTTAAGAACTGTAATTTAAAGTTTGAACATTTTTAAAAGGATTAAGCTGTCAGTGATGACTCTAACCYTATTTGCTAAAGATGATTAAAGAATTAGAAGAGTTACAGTTTTTACAAACTCTATAAACTGTCTCATTTCAGAGAGAATACCATCACGATCTGATTTGTTTTTAGATAAGCCTTTTTTTCTTTGTTTTTTTTAAAATCTTTCCATCACACTTTATCGTCTCCGCTGACGTCGGCCTCGTTTTTCAGATCCTAGAGGAGGAGATTACCCTGAGTGCTGCTGTCCTGAGCGACGTCCAGCAGCAAGTCAGACGGAGAGAAGGAGAGAAAGGAGCAAGCTGTGTTCGCAGGAGGAGGAGGAGAAAGCTCAGGACGAGCCCCGCCCCTTGCAGTGAAGCCCCTCCCCTTCGAGGAAGTGCAGTGAGTACCAACATTTTTTGGCTTTTTTCACCTCTTTACTCATTAGTTGAATTCATTAGTTGTACTCCACATGTTTTTATTTAATATTCTTAATTTTAGCTCTCTCCTTAGTGCATAACCTCTATTTTCTTTCTTTGAAGATTTTTTTAAATATCTTTTCTGGTTATAATTGTCTTATTCTGTACAATATTTAACCTTATTTTTGTTTGAATTACTGTTGGCATCTAACACCATCAAAACCAAACAAGTGTCTCAAATCTCTTCAGGTGTTCTGGTGAAGTCTGTTGTGTAATTCAGAACCAGTTTGACCACAAAATTCTGTATGTTGAATGGATGACTAAATGTTTCTGCCTTAATCAGGTAAATCATGTTTGCAGACATGATGCGTGCATTTGAAGAAGGAGGCAGTTATTTTTTTGTTGTGTTTRGTTTTGCAGCGGAGCGTCAAAGTTTGAAAAACCTTCAGGTTTTTGACAGACAAGCTGCTTGCAAATCAAACACACAAAACAAACGATTTCCCACCTTTCTAAAATCACACATAGAGAGCAAAAAAAACTACTTTGCTTTTGCTCAAAACTCTAAATAAACAGTGGTGAAGAAGACAATTTAGATTTAAACATACATTTTATAAAAGGCATCTGATGACCTCTTCTGCTCATACTTTTGATAATAATCTAATAAAAAATTATATACAGTTTGATATATAGTTCATATTTGGTTTCTAAATTTTTTAGACTGTAGAACACTAAACACTGAATTAAATCTGTGTAAAGGTTATTTGTACTTTGATGGGGTGACATTTTCTCAGGTTGCTGAACTTTGGCTGAAAAGTGAATAACTGACATTTTGGCATTCGCCATTTTCTGGCAGGACTGGATTAGTTTAATGGCGACCCCTTGGAAAGGAGCGTGAAGTAGGGCTGCACCGATTAGTTGAAATAATCGATGACGTCGATTATGTAAATTTGTCGACGCAGATTTTTTATTATCGATTCGCTGTATTACATAACCACCCGCCACGTGAATGTTCATGCAATTGCATTTCGGTACCTAAAAGCATCATTGCGACCTGGTGGATTAATTATCTTGTGAACATGACGTTCACTTGCTCAAAGT